CAGCTGAAATGAGCATACTGAGGTGAGTCGCTGGCCTTCGCGTCTTGACACAATCCGGAGTACAGATATCTGAAAGAGTCCTGTTTAGACTGAGAAGTCACAGTTGCGATGGTCTGAGCAGGTTATGCGAATGGTTTCAGAAAAGAAAACGAAACAGAAACTACTTGCCCAACCGACTAGCAAAGACCCTATGGAAGGGCAAAAACAGCCTGGAACAAGTATATTGAAGAATTCTGCTCCAGACTCGGGTTGACGGTGGCACAGGATCAGGCACTTTGGAAAACATATCTGAAGCATCTGCCTCTGCGAACTGAGGCAAAGCAGCCATGTAAACTGACTGAATTTTAGACTGAAATAGAAATTAATCCCGTGGGTTGTGATTGAGCTGATGTCTAATGTTCATGGCCTGGCGCTTTCTTTCAATGCACAGGTTACTGAACTCGTTTTTCGAGAGAAAAAAGTCACCGAAACTTCAATCCAGACAGAAGAATTGTAGGGAACGGAAGAAAGGCTCGCGAATCTCTCCTAGCATTCACTCATATGAAGGTTTGCAAAAGTTTTCCACAGACCATTATCAGCACGTTCAGTCTTTCTTAAATACCGCAGCGTTTGACGCTTGAAAAATTATTCGTTAAAAAGCGACAGAACAGTTATAAATAATAAAGCGTTGCATACTGTTATTCACGGCTTTACTTTCACTGCTTGGTTGCTGCGTATTTATTCCTGAAACATCAAGCAATAAAGTAAGAACAAATGTTCGAAATATAGACTTGACAAGTACCGTGGACAGGAGTGACCTGGCTGGAGAGTGCAACGCCGGCACAGCCGCGATATCTCGGCACAGTCGACGGTGTGCACACTCGGTGGCGATATCTTACATACGGCGAATGCTCTAAATATTCGAACTTGAACGAACGATGTTCAACATGGAATATGTCGCCGTGGTTCAGCTTCGCACATGTTGGAACCCGTCTGTCAAATATTCGAACTGCGCGGTGACTGGCCAGGTTTTTAAGAAAGGCCTGAAATGAATAGAAATTCATACCGTGAATTAAATTATAAATTAATCTAGCAAATAGTTTGACCTGCCATCAACCATTATTACAAAAATGGGGCCAAAACAAGAGAGAAATTACCATAAAATTTCATTAGCTTCACCACTGATGGGAATATCACGGTCAGTTTAGGCGCTAAAAACTTATTTAATATGTCCACTTCGATCATTTTTAATATCAAAAATAATCTTCTAAAAAAATCGAGTAGACAAGTGTATTAACTGTAGGTAAATGTGTCTTAAAATCAATAACATCCTGTACGATTGTTTCCTAAAAAGAGTCTTCTGGTCTACATCGGAAGGGGCGGACAACTATCACGGTAAGGACGTCAGGCGAATTACAGCGGAATTTATTCCGTTAAGATGTTAGGGTAGCCGTGAAGGTCAGTCTTGAACCTGGAAGCAGCCGGCCAACGAGACTGTTTGATCATTATAAAATCCTGACTGGTGATAACTGGTAATCCAGTCATTGGAAAGCTACTGCCACTGTTCAGACGGTCAGCAAATCAGCTCTCCACTGTGGAAACCAATGGTAGCCTATGGTTCACAAGCAAATATCTGCTCACATTCACAGTAATGAGGTTCCACGGCACAATGGTGGCTGTCCATATGTCGTCAATGCGGTCGCTTGACATTCTTAATTGCTGCAACTGCCTCCCATCGACTACATGTAAATGATGATTCTGAGTCGATCAAAAACAGCTGAACAGCAATCAAATTTTTGTTCTAAAGAAAGCCACTGAAATACAGTTTCGATGTTAGATTATCACTCGATAGACTTCTCGACTGCACTGTATATAATAAAACTGCTGGTCTACTTTCTAAATATATTAAAATAAGTACCTACATCTTAACTTCTTGCGGTTCCAAAAACGATTTAAACAAATCTGCTACTTTTCACTGACCAAGAGAAAATCCGCGCATGCCAAACAAAACGAGCACTGCTTCAACATAAAAAGGCCGTACTCGGTGTTCATATGCAAACAGATAATTGGATATCTTACTACGAGATGACAAACAGACAATAAGTAAAACTCCTCTTGCTTGCTTTATCAAGATCCACGTTCCGGTTGTCAGTAGAAAGTAATACCATCGCCTTTCCCATTTGATTTTTATAATAAGCAGCAAATACACGCTCATTGACATGTCTCAGCAGTCTATGGAAAAACTGGAAAAATGCGACCAAATGATGACACCATCTCATTCATAAGCGACAATCATATTCATTTGCAAATAATCGAAAAATAAAAGCAATCATTCACACACCGTACACAAAACGAGCCGTATGCCTCTACAGCATTTTTGCTGCTGTTCTTTATGTTTGAGAAATGAACTTACTTATTAGGATATAAAGATGGACTATCAAAAATATTGGGCCGATGAAGATGAATAAAACAATTCAGAAATAAAAAACTACGTCGATAATAAAAATGGTAGGAAATTAATCATTATGAAGGTGTAATCCCTAAGAATGCGAATCAATAGGGTGATCACAGATTTCCTTATGGTAGAACCGCTTATGCATAAATACTGATGTGCGCTGTCTCCTTACAGAAGAAATGACTGATGACTTTCGCTGTTACTAGTGGCGTGAGAGTGACATTCGTTTCCAGACTCTCAGAATTAGACACTGACACCTTGACGAGGTTCGGATAACGCTCGTTACAACGCCGGATTTCATAGCTGATATAGTCTAAATAGCATGATGGAACTTATTTTTTCTTATTTTATATGTTCGTAACGAGTCAACGATCCTCGGTTGACTTAGTACATGAGTTATCATTCTGTGCCATAGTGAAGGACATAGTACAATAAACGCATTTTACCATGAATTTAATGGGGATTATTACAGATGATGACCATAATCATTTTGTAAAGAAGATAGCAAAAAGGTTACACATTAAAATAACGAACTGCTGAAAATAATAAGCAAAAAAACAGTTATAATATTGCATGGTTTCTCTACCTATTTAACCAAGACAATGTGATGCACATTCTCGAGATTTAAAAACTGCAGCTGACTAATGATAAGTAAAACTGTTGTAATTTAGTCGCCGTAATCAGAGTATTAAATCAAAACCACTAATGAGAATCTAACGCATAAAAGTTCTATAAATGCGATTATCTCAGCGGAAAGCGAACCCGGGGGATGGCAAAAACAAGAAACTTCGTCTCTATTAAACAAATTTGAATATAAGCTGTCAACTCTTAATCATATTAACAGAATCAAAAAGTATTAAACTGGAAGTAGAAAGCAAATCCATCAAATAACATTGGGTTTTTTCGACTCTAGGCCTGCTGTTGGAAGTGTACACAATTTCTTCACTCAAAGCTGAGGGAACCGAACAAGCCGATAATAAACCGACGAATTTCGCCATCACACAGTTGTGTCCTAGTGGTGGATGTTATCAGTGTGATAACGAAAAGCCTCAGCAATATTAAAAGTTTCTATCGTCTATCCGTCTTGTCTGATGCCCTCAACCATCGATCAAGAAGATTGACGCAGTCATCAAAATGACTTCGAACACAGTGAAAATCAGCTTCTTAAACTCACATCAGCACCGTATATAGATATCTAGAAATGCACTGATCTTCTGATTCCAGCATTAACGACATGAAAACGAGAAACATTTTTATTTAACCCGCCAATGTTCGGATGAAATAGGCATCAGTCATCATCAGATTTCACAACTGCTATTCGGTAAATGCTGGTTAATTAACAGTCATTTGTTTCTGCTCTTTAAATAAAGAGAATCAGAATATACAAGCTCTTACATGACCAAAACGCAATATCAGTCAAAGAAAAATAAGCCCCGATTCCATACATAACATTTTTACAATGATAGCTTTCCGATAAAAGTGGAGCGATGTCGTCAAGAACGAAATGAAACTGCGAGAAATCTCTGAAAAAATAACGGACGACAGGAAAATGTGGAGGAAGTTGACTCGATTAACAGACCTCTGTTAAAGGGAACATGCTAGGAAAAGGAAGAAGTGGAAGAAGCTTTCCGATAATTCAACGCATAGGATGAAAAATAATTATAAAATATATTCCCCCTCGATAATCACCCACCACCAAACCAACAAGTTAAGGTGAATTCGAAAGATATCATAGAAAACCTTGCAGGAATGCCTTCAAGAATACTGATTGAAAGGCAGAGCCACCATAACTGCCTGTTGTGAATAATGGCGTAACAAAGACCAACTGCTGATCCGCGCAAATTCGAAGACATCGAAAACAGGTGTTGTTAACAATGATTAACGCATACGTTTCAAAATAACTTTCGCTCTCCCTTATACGTCCATCATTAACACCATCCAAGAATTTCATCGTGATTCGACCTTCGCTCGCGATATCGAAAGCAATATCTGCAATCATATAACCACATACGTAAAGCGTGCAGTCTCTTGCTTTCTTCACAACTGAACTCCTATTTTGTGAAAACACTAATCACCGAGACGAGAATTTTAACAAACTTCTTTTAACGTCAGCCCGATCCACAGATGTGTGGGCAACAAAGCAATTTCTGCACGTTTAGATTATGGTTCCGTCAAATTACCACCATCTAATTGGCCTGAGAGTAAGTTTAAATTATAGAAACTTTTTTAATTTCCAACATAAGACCAGAAAACTTCGCTTGTCATCAAAATATCACCATTTTTAAGCGCAAAACCGCAAATCTTCAGTTTCATTCAAACTAAGTTGCACAAAAACATGCAGATTATAAATTATTTACTAAGATCGTACTCACCTGGCCATTATGATTGAATTCCACCGCGCAGTGTTCCTTTTCAACGGCATTTGATTTTATACGGATGTTGCATGTCCGTGATCTACAATACAGTAACATTCCAAGGAACGACGAAACATATACGGTTTACCTTCCAATCAAGCAAGTCCGTTTATCCATCTCATAGACACCGCCGAACTCATTGTTCGGCTTAATGATCGTAATTCTGCCATATATCGGGCTCATATTCTTTCACCCTACCATAAAACATGAACAACAATCACTTTTTTTCCACAGATAATCACACACTACGTCGCTTCCCGCTGCTCAACGTCTCGCCACGATTTCTTCGTTGCTACCTGTTAATCACAACATCAGTTTCTTTTTGTAACTGTCGAATGAAAATGAAAAATGTAAAACGTGTTTAAACTTTAAAGTCAGCAAATAATCAAAAAATATGTTATTTTAAAGCATTTATTTTAATATTTATTTGATATTTTGTTTATAATAATAGCAATTTATGATTAATTCAATCTAGATTATACCTTCACGTTTAATTTCCCAAACCTGGAGTATTATTTAGTATTCGTTCAATAGCTGGATTACGGTACAACAGCTTTCGAAAGATAAACAGAAGTCATAGAACAGTCTCTCA